GTATGCATCCTGAGAGCATCCTCGACTTTTGAGTCTGTGATGCCACTTGCTCAGGAAATGTTAGGTTATTCGAGTACCTCAGACCTAGGTCAACGACACTTTGGAGTCTGGTTAGGTTAGCATATTGAGACGTTAATTTCATGTCGATTGAGGGTGCACCGAAGCAGATGCAGCCACATTTTTAAGGTTAAACTGTAGGTTCCATAAAGACGACCAAGCAGTCACTTTATCTAGTTCTTTTCGTACAACATTCTAGAAGTGCCCTAGGTCATCAGACTGGAATATGTAAGCTACTTTTAGGTCATCTGCAAAGATGAATGGTTTCCCATGAGAGAAGCAAGCGCATATGTCGTTAATATATAGAGTAAATAGGAGGGGTCCAATGACACTACCTTGTACTACACCAGAGGTGATTGGGCTAGGTTTCGAAGTTATAAATGCTCTTTCTCCTAACGTCCACAAGCTTGCTCAGCTTCTTGTCAGGATGCTACCCCATGAGCCCTACACAAACTCGCCAGACATCTTACAGGTCAGCATATCCTACAGGTTCTAATCTTTCAAGCCACTTCTCTGTGAAATGTCACTTACATATTTCACGACTATGCTTTTGTCTGATTAGTATTATACTCTATTTTATTTTAATTCCCTAGGTCTTCAATAAAGCTATAACTTACTCTTTTCATCCACATTCTTTAATCGATTAAAGTCTGGTCGCTTTGATGCAGAAAAAACATAATAAAAACACCCATATTTGAGAATAACTATATTTTCATCGAAAGTGTCATAGTTTTTCATGGTAAGACCAGTATGGACAGTGTTGAACATTGCAAATGTGAACTATTATTTCAAGCACTTTATATCTCCTTCTTGTATTTATCTTGTAGAAGTGCTTCCAATGATGTGTTATCCATAATTGCACTTTATAACATTTTGCAGCTGCCCAGGACGTTCTTCTCTTCCTGAAATAGCGTCCAGTCCCGTGGGGGCATAGCACTTACCCAAATATACGATGTTCACTGGTTGACCATAACTATCAGCAAGAAACGGAACGAAGTTTGGGTTGTCGCTCAACTTTGATGGTGACCTCAGTGAAAAGTTTACAATTTAACGTTTATAAGAACATATTCTGATTGATTGTGCTATAATTCAACAATTTGAACTTTTGAAAAAGTACTAACCTATTCTAATTCACAGTTGTAATTTGTAACATAACTGATCGTGCCAGTAAAAATGTCATGCATTTCATGTAAACTGACCCATTTATACGAAATATCTATTGTTATCATACTGATGATGTGAACTGGTGTACCTCATGTACGAAATTGAGGATATATTTTTATTCTAATAAAGTGGCTAGTATTTGTGTGGTGATGCACGAATTGTCGTTAATAGCGGTGCACGTATGTTTGTGTTCTGATGTTTTTCAGAAAGCGAGAGAACTGAAATATGACACTATCCTGTCTAGGTGTACTGCTGAATTGTCGAGCACTTCCTTTCGCTTAGAATACGGTTTTTAGGGCTTACTTGGAATCTGTTGCATGAATATACTATTTTACGAAAGTATAGAAACTAATAATTACAATAGACACCCAACCAAGTTACACTGTTATAATATTGATTATTAGTGAGGCTGTTGGTGTGACTCAGTTTGCTAGATGGATTCCTGTTGACGTTATTGTTCTCAAGCATTTTATTCAATTTCAGTTTTTCTTCCTTGAAGTTTTCATTGTTACTCTTAGACTAAGTATGTGAAAGAATTATACATAGAATGAATGCAGCTCTAGAGTGGTTCTACGCAGCTTGCAGGTTGGACACAATTCACGGAATAAAATACTCACTGACACAATCTAAAGATAACAATTTTCCCATTCATGTTGTTTCCTACTGCATAAACCAGTTTACGTGCATGTGACAAAGAATATGCATCAGACGAACAGAAAGAAGGATTTGTGACCGCCTATTCCCAGAAACTGACGTGAAAAATATATGAAATTTCCTGGGAGTCCAGCTACTTGCATTTGTTAGAGAGCAGTCATGAAATTGTCACAATAAAATCCATTTGGATAATTCGAGTCCAAGGTAGGTTGAAGTAGCACGTATCAATGAAGCGATTGCCACTAAACGATTAGAATCAAACTTGTGCATTAATAAATAAACGGTTGTGAATTTTGCTTTACCTTGGTAGCTATATTTTAGGTTACCCAAATGCTTTTTGTGTAAGTTTCGGTTGATACTATTGTTATTTAAGCTCTGTTTTTTTCGACAATATAATTACTCTAGCTGCATCTTAATCTGTATTCCTGTCCAAGCCAGTTTTGACTTATATTCAACTGAATTACTTGAACCTTCCATAATCAAATTATTGACTTTGAACCTTTGTTCAATTTATAATATACACCTGTAACTGTGGGATTTTCTTTGATTATTTCCATAGACAGGAACTAGCTTGACAACAACTTTTATCCTATCACATTGTGCTGCGCATTCATGTGCTGTGGTTTCCATTTCGCCCTTCTGATTAATCACTAAAGCACCCCAGTAATTTGACATTAAATTGTTCATGGTTGCATGTAGCTGAGAGGAACCAACGAAGTACAATTACATCATCTATCGTGCCAAATGTATTCTACTTTCTCTGTTCAAAAACGGTTTCCATGGTAAATTTTTTTTGACACCACGATAGACATAGTATTATCACCGTCCCCTGGGTTATTGATTTTCAATGTTTTTTAACCTTTACCACTGCCTAATAACTTTACTCATATCTAACGTCCCTTCCTTTACCGCTTAATAATATTTCATATGACTAATACGCATGTGATCGGACTGCTAAAAATTTGCTACATCTCATGGTCTTTTCCACGTTATCAATATCCTACTGTGAAAATTTCCCACAAGGGTGGCATCGATTTTAAGTACAGTAGTGCACTAGGTGCCAACTGGGCAATGCACATTTTCAAAAGCTGCTCCGGCTTTATTACAGCTCATTGGCTTTATGCCAATTAATACTCACGTAAAGACATAATAATTTTAAATATGTCGGAGGCAGCCCATCGCCATGTCACGCTGTCTAGATTTTGTGAATGGGTGTTCTTACAAATCTCTTATTTTTCTTTCAGTTTATGGGGAAATGAACAGTATCTCAACAACTTTTACTCGTAGATTTCTGAAGTTTCTCAGACCCTGAAATCAGAGCATATTGACCACTGATTCGGATAACTGAAATAGTATGGAATATAATCAAGTGAACTGATATTGGTGTCAGTTTTAGTATTTCCGCTATTCTTGGTTTAACTGCATGCTTCTTACAACTTAAATCAAAATATATTCAACTCATAAAGTTATCAGGGCTACAGTTAGCAATGGAACAAATCCACTTCATCGATAAACCTCAAATTTATGTAATCACTCAATAACAATCAAAATTGGATATCGAAAAATCTTATAGTGTTATACATTCCCGATACAAAATTTCGGTTACTGAAGGTTACCTTCTCCAAAGTCGCCGCGCGTTTCGAATGGAACTGTACTGGTGCGGCTTGCTGCTATCTTGAGGTATTCAATTACACATAATTGTGAGTGTACTGGTATCCAAACAGATTCGATTTATTGGCTAGGCAACATAACTCCTGCTGTCAATCGCTTTGATCCTTTTTACATGTCCGCTTAATGTTGAGAAATCTAGGGTCAATTTACATTTCCTTATCAGTAATTCTATAATTAACCTGACTTATTGAACCAAATGGTGGAATATGTTTTATCCTAGATGACAATTTTTTCGAACATTTTCACGCTCAATAATTATTGTATATAAAATGTAGGATTAAGGTTGAGTAAAACTTTCTCCAATTGGAGAAAGTGTGATGTGAAAATTGTAACAAGTATGGAAGAAAGTGGGAAATACGGGTAAATCAAGTAATACTTGTTGCGTTCTAGACATTATATGCTGACATCCCTGATCAAAATCACCATTCATCCCACGTTTTCCCCATATTCCCATATCATTCCGGACTAGGGAAGCAAATAAAAATATCTTGGATAAATTGGGTTTTATTTTGGAGGAAAATTGATGGGAGGTTAGCTTTTTCTGAAAGTGTTGGAATTCCCGAAAATTTATCCATTTCGTTGTCTCCGAAAACCCTGAAATTTGTCAGTGCTGTGCAAATCCTTGAATAAGGAAAGTAGCCTCAATTGATTTAAATGTTCTGGGGATGCATTTAATACTCTGCAGTGCTGTTTGATTTTACGCCTAATTGCTTTCTTAGATATTTTCACTGATTTTGAGTCTGCTAAAGTCCAGTTCCGGCATTCTGAGTGATCTGCACCAACCTTCTTAATTCGTGGTGAAATTATAATGCTGAAAGAACCTATAAATTTTGTTTAAATTATTTTATTCAGTAGGTCTGTTGTGTATATATGTGATGTGAATTTGTAATAAAACAAAAGAAGTTTATCAAAATGACATATTCATTCTGATTAAGACAATGGAAATATGATACTTTCCCTATGTGTACAGCTTGATACTGAAGTACAAACACGTGTTAATTGTATTATAGATATTGGGCTAGTAAGTGACGTTTATGAATGATATTGACCATTACTCGTAACATCCACTCTCTTTAAACCTAATGTGTAATAGTGATTTAACCCAACAACCCGGTCTGTGAAAAGTAACTATAAACAGCGTGTATTTAACGTATATAGCACGTACATATTGGTGGTATTGTGAGCTCTTCTGAATTTCTCTGGTATGTGTTTATTCAAAATTTGGCAACAGTAAAGAATAGACACTAACTTCAGACCACCTTAAAACAGCCAATCAGATTCTTCTAGGTGAAAAGTAGTACTTAATTTACAAAGAAGTGTATCTACGATATATGTAATAAAAATGAATCATATAGGGTATATGTCTTTAACATGCTGCAAAAACTGGTCCTAGATTCTCATAGATGTGGTTATAGACATATCAAACCAATGTATTCTCTATTTCTCCAACTGTAGCAGATACTGGTTGCATATACGCAATATATTACTAAGGGAGAGCTTTGATTTCGAGAAGAAAGTGCCTAAAAGATCACCAGTTATGTACGACTTACCAACTTATACAGACTTCCTCATATAAAGTGGTTGCATCTGAATGTATAACCATCAATAGTCCGGCAATACTTTTCCAGAGTTATTATCCCTCCACGCATGCATGTTTTATTCCTCCCTATCAACACATTATCTAGAAAGAAGTCAGAAACCAAATCTAGGAGACACTTTCAAAGAGGATTATGACTAGGAACCATTTGTGATGCTGAGCTATCTGATTGGTCAAATCAAGGTCATTCAACTTTGGTGTCTATTGTTTACTCTTGCCCAAAATTCTGCCTTGTAATGACTAAAATAATCTTTTATTTTCCATCTTAACGTTTGTTTCCAAGCCAAAACTACTTATATTACATAATTATCTAAACTTTATAAATCTAATGTACACACACACAAACAAAATTGTATAAATATGCGATTGTACAGCTCAGTGAATGAATTCGCCGAAAAGAGTTTCTTCGCTGAACGCCTTCTTTTCTTTTATAATCTTTAAAGTGTTTAGGTTTTCTTAATTATTGCTGAAATTTTAATAAGCATTATTGTGTAGTGTTCATCAAAGTTTTACTTTTCACTTGTACACTTTACAGCTGATTCTTCAATGTCGACTAGTAATCCATTTCCTGTAGATCTTCAAATTTCTAAATTTAATGGAACTAACCCTGAAAGTTGTTTAAATCATGAGGTATTCAATGATTGCATTACTTATTTGTAAACATTTGTAAACAGACAACACGTTCACTCAACAAGTTACCGTATTACTTCAAACTGGTTCAATATGAAATACTGACGGAGGTTATGATAGACTTAGCCTATGAATATGAACTGAATTTGTTAACTAGTCGTGAAAGGCATGCATATGAGATTCTTGCCGCAGTATGGTCTGAATGTCATCTTATTAAAGGCACGAAAAAAATTAATCTCGTCGACTCAGAAATATGCAGAGATATGGTTGTGAACGACATTGTACCACTTTTGAATAGAAACATAGAAAAGAAGTTAGACGACAGGTTGGCATTGTTCGCAGATAACAGTGATAATAATCAAGGTTAGATACATCTTTTCATAACACTTTACTTTCAGATGTGTTGAAGTTTGACAGTTTGCCTTCAATTGACGAGATCCAAGAGAAGAAAAGGCAGCTTTCTTTGAAACTCAGAAAATTGCAAGCGCGTTTTACAGAAGTATGTAATTTTGAGCATCAATTATTGCGTGACACTTATGTGTTGAGTTGTAAACTTGGACGCATAATTATTTAAATCGTTCTTCGAGTTATAGAGTGCCAGTGCTTAAACACGATACTATAATATTATTGGGATTCTTTTCCAATTGCCTAAAATCTGTTACTTTTCAAGACTGTATTTAATACCTAGAGGCAGGCAATATATATGGATCAAATTTCGGCTGATTAGTACTCATCATCTGTTTTCTCTTAGGGAATCACCACTAATAGTTGATCCTAAAATTAATATCAATCACCCTTTCCATTTGGTTTCAAGTGTAATGTCTAAAGTGTGGATATTTTAAGCTACTGCGTCCATTTTATTATTAAGCTGGCGCCATTGTTTAAGAAATCAATGTAAGCATGACCAAATACTGTCTAGTTTCCATCTAAGACATAGAACTTTGCATCTAAAATCTTCGGCAGTTCATTGGTATTCTTTCTGACCACCTATTTGATCATAGATCGCATCGCTCGCTGTCTAGATATCTGTAACATCCTAATGATTGTTTTATTCTTCACTCACCACTTGATTATCTTCACCCACTTCAGGACTTTCGGCCGTTACTCCATATTATAAGTTGGCACATTTGCTTTCAGTCCTATGGCCTACTGTTTTTGAAAACTTACTCCCTTCTTATGTGGTTACAGATTTAATTATCAGTTTTGTTGTACAAAAGGCAAGATTTTAATAAGCAGTGGAGTTCTACATGTGAAATTTCCACACTTTCTGATCACTATCAATACATTATAAGAAATCGATTAGAGTTTGAATTCAGGTTTACTACCCCAAGATCTAAACGCCAAAGTAGTTGGTTTTCCAATGAATGAACTTTCATAACATTGCCAACTCTTAGGATACTTCCAAGTTTGATTGACTGACTGACTGAGTTTCACTGTGTAACTTTGTACGGAAGTACAGTAGTTCAAGTTTCCACAATCCACATAGCCCACAAAGGTTAGGAAAAAGAGAAGAATTCAAAAACAACAACATCGTAATGGTCATAAATGAACGAAAGAAAGAATGATTACATAGAGAAACAAGTAGGTTTAATGAGTGTGGGACACTGCGAAGAGTGAATCCATTTGTGCTACTGAGATCGATTTTGAGCCATATCACCAACAGTCTCAAAAGCTATTGGTTCTTAGCGTTTCAAAAAACCCTTCAACTAAGCAGTCTACACCTCCCTATATGACTGGCTCAAGCCAACATTCATAAACTTTATGGATTAATTACAGGTTATGATAATCAAGTATTGGTTTGTAGGGGTTTGACTGATTGGTTACAGGATTTCATCATGAGCTGACATCGGTTAGAGAACTATTGGAAAACCAGGCGGGAGTACTGGACAGCTGTTTTTTCACCCTAGTTCAAGACTCTTCATCAGTACGCACCCACCGCTAGGTTTCAAATCGAGGACCCTGTAGCAGTAGGTTACAAGGCGAGCTAGCTCGTAGACCATTAAGCTACTGGGACCCGATCCAATGGCTAGTTCATGAATTCCAATTCACGACCGCTAGCGAATGGCGAGTATTTGTCCTCACGCCGGACCTTGTGCTTATACAACCTAATCATATATCGCCTAACACATCTATCATCAGCGAAAAAGGTGACTCGGCCCATGTGTCCATATTTGTTTTTTAAGTGACATTTTATTACTCAAAAGTATAATAAAAACACTGACTACTTTCGTACTGGTTAAAATTAATTTTTCACTTTACAGAATTGCATGAAGGTTAGCTATTGGTTTACCGATTTCTTAGCTTTGTATGACATGAGTTCCATTCTAAGAATGGTGATCTTTCTATAGTCAACCGCATATGCGTAATAAACACTCCAAAGGAAAAGAGTGCTTGTACTGCTTTATACCTAAATGTTAAAATTTCTGGATACGTTTATATATGTAACTTAATGCTACAAAATGCTGTTAATGTATACAATGCAGTACGATGTTAGCTCTCCCTTTCTTGTTATTATTATTATTGTTTACACATTTCTAGGCTGTTTCTAGAATATACACCTTATCCTCTCGCCTATTTCGAGAGTATCGCTTTGAATTATATCCAATAGTAAGCCATCAAGCCCGTCTCGTTATAGATGAACAAATTCAAGCATTACTACTAAAAGCTAAAAATCTACAATATACCCTTCAAGATACCTCTTCTGGGTCATCAGCAAAATTGGATATTCTACAGAGAACTCAGTACGTCTGCTTTTTTTGATTGTTTTTTCTGTTAAAAAGAGAATCATCGTATCTATTTAATAAATTCATAGGTGTTTTTTATTTGAGGTGGAAAAACATTTTCTGTATTAATTTAAAAGTCTTTTGATTTTGTCTCCAATATTCCATGTTATTTATAATTGTTATTATTATAATTATTCCTTTGGGTTACAAGTGGAACATAAGGCTCTAATAGCAAAAATCAAAGCTATTTGGTTGTGTATAAACCGCAGTAACCTAAGTCGGGTTGTACAAATTATAATTTCTGTGTATTCTGTACTTTCATTTTTACAATGTAAAGCCAACATACTTGGCATCTTGACAGTTTGAAAGAAACACTCTACTGCCTCCATAGGCCATTTCATCTGCACTATACGACTCTGAGATCAGATTGCCACCATGGCATAATCACCTTACCCTCTAAGACTTACTGCTACCAACCTTATTACTGTTATTTCAAGTTTTGACCATGGATTGATAACAGTTAGAGAACTATTAAAAATGAGAAAGGACTGGACAGCTGTTTCGTCCAAGTTTGAGACTCTTCAACAATACGTACCACCCCGTGCAACTGGGGTTCAAACCCAGTGTGTTCAGCCATTGAGATGGAATCTAATGACCAATCCCCCTCCACATGAATTCTAACTTCTATAAATTCATGATTTAAGCGCCGCGGCCAGTGAATGTCACCGCGCGTGTATTTGTCTTCACATCCAACGTGGTTGACCCTACTGGTCGTGAGAAGTCGTGATGGTTGGCTAATGATCTCTATGAAATCACGAATTGGTAGAAGTTGGATTATACATCGGCCATTGGATTGAATCTCAGTGGCTGAATGATCGGTGAACTTGTCTGGTGACTGCAAGGTCCTGGGTTCGAACCTCGGTGGATATAAGTAAGGGAAGTAATGTTGATGTTAGGCGTAGAGTGTTGGGCAAACAGGGAAAATCAATCGACGAGGCTATAAAGTTACATAGATTGAGATGACTAGGTCACGTGCTGCGCATGCCTAGCCATCGCCTCCCCCGACGGACGGGCATTACTAGCTGATATAGGTGCAGGTTGGAAAAGAGTAAGTGATAGCCAAACAAAAACATGGCCTCATCAATCCATGAAATCCCTGACAGTTAAACTGAGTCAGGTAGGGAGGGAGATGCAGACTTCCGTGTCGGGGCCCGCCCTCGGGACTCTAAGAATCAATGGCTGGAGACAGACATTAGGCGACATGGCTCAAAATCGTTGTCAATGGCTTACGCAGATGTATTCAGTCTCTGTAATCTTTTATATTCCTTTCTACCATTACTCATTCTGTTTCACTCTTATACTTGTCAAAACTCTATTGATTCTCTTCACTCATCTTCTTGTCTACCTTTATGTGCTCTTTGGAACGCGTCAACTGGAACTGCTGCACTTCGGTGACAAGTTCTATGTTGAATCCAGACAGATAGACCGGTGGGTGTGTATTCCTGAAGAGTCCCGAACTGGGACAAAACAGCTGTCCAGTAATCTCTGGTGGCTTTTCAATGATTCCCTAACTGATATCAGTCTATGATCGAAACTTGAAACAGAAATCAAATCCCTACAAACTAACTCTTGAATATTATTATTATTATTATTATTATTAATTTTAGCCAAGAATTAGAAGATTCACGTCGTAAATTGAAACAAGAAGTGGAAGAGTTGGCTCGATTGGATAAAGCCTACACAAGTAAAGATGAAGCCTATCATGAATTAGTGAAACAGTATATTGCCTGTAAACAACAATTATCTTTACGATCTAAGTTACTACGAGATACTGATGCTATTACTACTACTACTACTATCTCGAATAATTCTACTCGATCTGGTCACAAATCATATTATAGTAATAAACATTCATACCGTCGATCGTTGAGTGCTGATACAAATTTGAATAATAGATAAATTCTAAATACTATTTTTGGTGTATATATATATATATATATATATATATATATATATATGGCCTATTGTTTGTATATAGTTAACTGTCTTTTTTATGTATTTCTAAGAGGAAATATAATGTTTTCTACTGTGTACTTTCTGTTTTATTTTAATTTTGTGTGTTTGACTGACTGATTGACTGGTTTCAACTCTCCACAGAAGATACATTGCACTGATTAATGCACTCTACTCGTACTCATGCAGTCAGGTGAGGGCTTACGGCGAGTTGTCATCTGAAGTGGTGACGACTATTGGCGTCCGTGAAGGATGCCCATTATCTCCATTTCTATTCAACTTCATCATAGACGTAGTAATGGACTTAACCCTAAGTGACTTCAGCGACTCAGGGATTGACTTGCTACCAGGGAATAATCCTGTTGACTTAGAATATGCAGACGATATAGTCCTTCTAGGCGAGGACGCTGATAAAATGCAGAGTCTTCTGAACACCTTGAGCTGCAATCTACGAATGTTTGGCATGCGATTCGCTCCCGCCAAATGCAAGATGATATTACAGGACTGGACTACACTGACTCCTAGTTTAGAAATAGGGAGTGAAGTGGTAGAACACGTTGACCGCTTCACTTATTTGGGAGGTTGCATCAACCAATCCCACTGGGTCGATCACAGACGAAATTTCAGCACGGATACAAAGGTCTAGTTTCGCATATGCCAGTTTACGCCGTCGTTGGCATAGAAGTAATATCCGGCCGGCTATCCACCAAAGGGCGTGTGTACTGCTCAGCAGTCCGCTCCATCCTCCTTTATGGCTAGCTGTGAGACCTGGTCATTGAGAGTGGAGGACATGATAAGGCTAGCTGTCATCGCCTTCCTCGACAACGGGCAATGTTAGCTGATATAGGGTCAGGCTGGAAAAGAGCTAGTGGCGGTCAAACCAAAACATGGCTACACCAGTCAATGAAATCCACAACAGTGGGAAGGTGTAGACTTCCAGACTGGTTGGGGTCCTCAGGACGGTAAAAACCAATGGTTGGAAACAATTGGTGACATGGCTCAAAATCGTTCTCAGTGGCGCAGATGCATCCACTCCTTGTGACTTATAATTTCCAATGAAACAATATTGTTCGTCGTTATTACTATTCCTTTGTCTCACACCTCTGTTTACCGTCTATGTTATGCATTTCTGCTACTTTCTTCTCTTTCTTTGTGTGCTACATGGGGTGTGGCGCCTTGAACTGCCGCACATATGTGCAAAGTTCTATGTCGAAAAGACACAAAAAACCAAAAAAAAACTAACATAGTAGATTGAATGCTGACACTTATGATCAAAGACAGCTAGCTAGCCTTTTCATGCCTTCCACTTTCAATAACCATGTCTCGCAGCAGTAATCAAGGCTGGCGCGAACTGGTGTGTAGTATACACATCCTTCGATCGATAGTCTGATATACCACGTCTACGCCAATCTTTGTTTGGCTAGTCAAGTCTGTCACATTCCTGTTTATTAATTCTCCTATTTTTTCTTTGCAATAGAGGAGGACGAAATGGCAAGGTCTGTTGTTCAGGTGGTTACTTATTGAACTGAGAGTCTTAAATGGATGTGACAGTTAATATTGAGTTACACCTAAACTGTCTCATTATGCATAATGGTGGGAAGTAAAATACTTATGTGATTTCATACATTTGGTTCCCTTGATAAATTTCGATAGAGAAAGAAAGACCAGATTTGCAGTATAAAATGTGATATCATCATTCTATTTCACAGGTCCTCATCGGCTGCAAACAACTTGAAATTACAACGGTTATAAATAATAACATTTCATACTTCAATGTTTGAAAGGTAATAGAGAAATCATTATAAGATGAACGCATTCGGAATGTAAGTTTTATAATTTTTGGTTTAAGTCACTATCAATTTATATGCCTTCAAACTATTTTAAAAATGGGGGTGGAGAGTGAGAGAAGACAGGAAACATAAAAATCCTATAAACAGTTTTAGCTTGTACGTCAACATGGCAACTCACGAAGATTAAAGTTCATCAAATTGAACCTTATAATGTTTTCTCTATTACCTTTCAACCACTGTAAATTCAGGTAGTTTGCAGTTACCTGATGAGAACCTGTGAAATAAAATGATGATATCACATTTTATACTGCAAATCTGATCTTTCTTTCTCTATAGAAAGTTATGTGATTTGTTGGTATTAGATGGTTGGAGGCAATCGACAGGAAATCTTGCCTAACCTAGGTTTCGTCCTAGTTAGCATTCACCAGTCAAAGTCTATGACTATTAAAAATTAAGATTAAATGTGGTTAGAGAAGGCGAATTAGTCTGTGTCATTGGATGTTTAAAAGTTGTAGTAGCATTTTGCCCAAAAGTTCAATATTTTTTAGTGTTCATTACGGATAAAAATTTTATATTGATAAAATCACAGTTATATAAAAAACAAAAGTACATACTAATGACCAATCATATTTCGATAGGTCAAGTAGTCCATGGTAGTTGAAGACTGAAGTCTATTGTTTTTTGTACACACAGTTTAGGCTGTATGTGATTAATCCAAAAGGCTTCCATCACCTTCAATAACCTTGAATTAGAGTTATGTGAAATAATTGTGAAACAGTCATGAACTTTATTTTATTTTATTATTGTTAACCATGTTAGCTGTAAAGCAGTTGTAAAGAAATTAAGAAGTGATATCATCTCGCGAAATTTGTCTTCTAAATGCCTCCTGATTCAAATTTATCAAAGGGACTAATTGTTTTAAAATCACAGTGTTGTTATACAGTAACATTTACTGATGACCACATTTCGAGCACAATTTATCATTGCTACGCATAATCATATCAAGGTAGGTGGAGAGTGAGAGAGAGAATGATTACTGAATCCAGCCTGGTTCATCCAGTCTACTACACCCAATACATGCAACAGAAATGACTCAATGCAAATACCAGAAATATGCAAGATATTGTTACCACCAGTCAGTCAGTGAAATCAGAGGAGGATAATAAATAATCTCAAAATTCTATTTCAATTCAAACATCACAGTATTCTAACAAGTTACTTATTATGACTAAAAAAACACTCGTCTTATTTCCCATCTGATTGTAATTGATGAATAACACTCATATTATTATTTCTGAATGTACATTAACCTATACTGATTTCTGTTCAAATGTCTAATCATCAATTTTTACTCGTGTATATAAATGAAGCAGGAAAGTTGTGTGTGTGTGAGTAATGCCTTGATATGATTATGAGCAGCAGTAATTTGTGCTCGAAACGTGGTCACCAGCTAATATTACTGTATAACAACAACACTGTGAGTCTTTATCAAAATAAATTTTACCCATAATGGAGTTATACTCTACCACAGTGGCCAAGTTTCATCCTTATATCAATAATTCTTTTGTCTTGTTCAATCACAGACTAATTCGTATACACCAATTTGTTGTGATAGCTGCAGATTATTAAGCATAGTGAATAGTTGTATTGAATATCACAGGTGATTTTGACTTGAAAGAAAAACCTTAAGACAATGTCACAATTCTTTTACATGAATGTTGATAACAGGAGTAGGCTACCACAACTTTCCGTGTTTGAGCAATCCCGAATGTCAAGTGATCCACAAAGGAAAACACAGTGAAACCGTTGAGGTGAAGACAAAACTGAGACAAGACTGCCTCCTACTATCACCGATGATATATCCTTATTGTGGTGGACTGGATTATGAGGAACACCGAACTTGAGGCGCCAGAACACAGGAACACGTTGGGCCGATAAGAAGACTCTAGGAGATCTGAACTTCCAATAGACGATTTATGTCTAATGTCATACAAACTCGAAGTTCTCCCTACGGAAACCAACAAGTCGGCAGAAGAAGGAAGCAGCAAACACAGGACTTCAAAAAAACATGGAGAAGTTGAAAGTGATGAAGATAACCAACCAGCCAACAACAACAATAACAAACATCAATCACTACCAAAGGAAGAAATTTGAAAGACGTCGCTTCCTTCAATTATCTGACCAGGCAGCATCGTTTCAACTACAGGCGACAACACGGATGAGAATTTCAAAATCAGAATCTGTGAAAGGCAAGAAAGATCTCTATCAGTTTTGAAATCCTCTGTACTCAGCATAAACAGTAAAACCCGGATCCCGTTCAATACGAATGTTAAGTCAGTCAGTTCTTCCTTATGTCGAAACAGAAACATGGCGAACCTGTCATGAAAATCACTTCGAACAAGTCACGGAATACTTTTATCAACAGCTGACACCTTCTCTGGTTCCATACTGAAGCTTGAACAGCCAGCCGGAAAGGATTAGAAACAAGAAAATCTGACAACGTGTGCACTAACCAAGAACCACCAATCGGTCAACAAATATTCCGAAGAAGGTGAATATGAATGGAACACAAATTGAGGAGGAACAGCTGTGTTGCATATTCCCGCTAATTGTAGCGTCGTAGTTCGTTGCTACGGTGATTTGCTGACAAGTATTTTTTGTATGATTTCTAAATGAAATTTGCATTTTAACTGTTTAAAAATTCCCATTACAATTTTCAAAACAATGGATACTGAACAAAGAATACTCTTTTCGATAACCCCTTCATCATCAGGCTCTACAGTTATATATATGCATTATAGTAAATGAATAAATGAATTAGTGTTATGAACAAGATTAATGTTGTTTAAATAACATCGAATCAATAATAATATCAACAGATTACAGTTCAATAGAATCAACATAACAATAAGCTGAATGTCAGAAAAACTAGGAAAGATAATATTACAAATTCATGAATTTATGATCACTGAAGTCCAGGGCAGTAGTAGGGGCTGGACTTGCTTCTTTTGAACACAGAGCACTGGTTGTTTGATGCGAATTGTAATAGCCTCTTCTGTTTGGAGAATGCAGTGCTTCGATGTTTTTCGCACTTTATTGGCCACCCGGTAGATTATAGAGAAGGATTCTTCCACTCTGGCTTTGTGGCCGGTTTGCACCAGATGGTCCGATACCGAACTGTTAATAGTTTTCACAACACCTT